ACTCCAAAATGGGCATTTAGAGAAAGAAATGGAAGGACTCATTCTAGCTGCTCAAGGGCAGGCACTCAAAAATCAAAAGTATGAAAGCCAAGATTCAGAAGACCAGCAATAACAGCAAATGTCGACTTTGCAAGACAAAGGATGAAACAATCGACCGCATGGTCAGTGCCTGCAGTAAAATTGCTCACACTGACTATAAAGAACGTCAGGATAGAGTTGCAGCCATGTTGCACTGGAATCTTTGTAAGAAGTATGGCTTACCATCAGGCAGAAATTCATGGGAGCACAAACCAGACAAGATCATGGAAAATAATGAAACAAAGATACTTTGGGACTTCCAACTGCAAATGGATAAACCCATGGAGCATAACATGCTTGATATCACAATTGTAAAAAAAAAATGAGAAGAGCTACATTCACTATATAACACCGCTAAAAAAACCTGCTCACCCCTGTATTTTGGAATATCTCCTAAAGTTGGCCAAGCTGCCTCTTACCTGTACCAGCTTCACATCCCCAAACTCCGTAGAGCCTTCTCTTTGGCCGGATTCAGTGTATTACCTTCGGCCTTATAATCTGGCCGTTTTCAGGGTGTGCCCTTTTCTGACAGATGTTGTCCATGCACAAATGATAATATTGAAACAATCTCCCATGTCTTGTTTCAGTGCCCCTTCTATCATGCGTTACGACTGAAATTTCTAAACTTGACTTTGGCTCAATTAGAAGAATATCTTGATGGCCTAAAGATCCTTACTCTCCTTGATAATCCAAACCTTGAGATAATGGAAACTGTCGCTAAATTCATTTTTGGTGCCATTTCTATTCACCCTTTATTTAATTGATTGGTATACTTACATGGTAATTCCTTACATCTGTTTTTTGCAAATATTATTTTATGCTGTTGTTGTTTTTGTTGTACATGGGTCTGTAAGGGTTACATGCCAATAAAAGTAATTGGATTGGAAAAAATGAGGAATAGGGTTTAGATCACTGACACTGCAATCCCAGGAGACAACAGAATAGAAAAGAAAGAACAGGAGAAGATCACAAAGTACCAAGACCTACGGACAGAGTTAGAGCGCCTCTTGGAGAAGAAAGTTATCATCATGCCAGTTGTCATTGGAGCCCTTGAAGCGGTGCCTAGAAGCCTCAAGAAACACCTGGACATTCTGAACACTGAGCAAATTACACTCGCTCAGCTCCAGGACACAGCATTGCTTGGAACAGCAAGAACCCTGTGAAAATACATCTGAAATTCCCCAGAACTTGGCTTGATCCTGAATAGCAGAACACCATCTACTAAGCAAATATCTGTGACTATTATTATTATTATTATTATTATTATTATTATTATTAACAACAACAACAACAACCCAGAAGCCACTGGGACAGTAAAGCTTGAGGGAAATGCCTCATCAAGCCCCCAAATCCGTAATCCGTCAAATTGTATTGCATGAGTCAATCTGGCCCCCCGGGGGCATCCTAAAGGAAATTAAACAGGGTACACGTCTGCACCACACAAATTGCCCCAGGTTGTGGCAACTTCAGGTGCTTGAGAGGGGGAGAAAGGAATTAGTGAGGATCATATAAGGGAAACTCGCCCCCCCCCCAGTACTTGGTTAGAAAATTTACTCTGTGAAATGCCCTTGAATAAGATGTGGCCAAATTCCTCCCTCCTGATTTAGGAGGGATATGTGTGTCTCCTTCTCTCTCTCCTCGCCCCCCACGCCTTTTCCACCCTCTGCTCATAACTCCCGTGGCTATCGGATATGGCAGGCAGCAAGCGTAAGCTCTTATCGTCCCCTTGGCTCTGAAGGGGTATGTGCTGGTGAAAGGAATATTGCCGTCAGCCCAAACTGAACCTTTGTTGTCTCCCACTAGCTTTGCTGACAGTTCCCCAACTTGACACCCTTCTCAGAACTATTTCCCCCCACCACACCACAGGAGGACAACAGCCAGGCAATGACACAAGTAGAACAGGAGGTGACATCTACACTGAGAGGAATGAACATTTACTTGGTTCCTAAACGCATTTGATTTTGTTTTCTCCCCCTTGTATTTTGCACTGCTTGGAAACAGCTGGGCCGGTGGATATCGAGAGGAGAGGGAGGGCGGCACTCCCCCATGGTTTCGGCACAGAGTGTTAAATTCTACAGATATGTTATGGCTATAAATTCCCTGTGAAATGAGGTTTTAAATTGCACTCCCAAACTGATGAGAACTAAGTGGGATGGTAGAATCGGCCAGTTGTAGCTACACGGAACACATACATTGGTGTGACGGGGACTCTGTCTCGATGGGGAATTCTGGGAACCTTGGTCTGGGTGGGGGGGGGGGGGATCACTCCAAAAGAGTGTTCGGCACCTCGCCAAACTACAGTTCCCAAGATTCATTGGGGGAAGCTGTGAACTGATGGTTCAATGGTATGAAACAGAAGATGTTTGTAGATGGGCTCTGACTGGACCATCTTTACCGTAAATGCAATTTAAACAGGGAAATGCAGTATCAACCTGTCCAGGTTCCAAAATCCATGCACGGTGATGGCCTTAACAGAAATTAAGCTACCTGGGATAGATGGGTAGGGGGTCAACCTGGAGCCAACACAGAATGGGCAAAAGCAGGAGCTGTAACGCCAGCTTAAACAGTGGTAAACAAAACTCAAGAGGGAAAAAGAAAATCCTAGCAAGCAGCTTCTCACAGAGCAAAAGGAGAAGACCAGGAAACGGAAGTTGCCCCTCATGTGTGGCATTTTACACCATTTTCCAGCTGGGTGGATGAACACCGCCCACGACCACCTTACAATTTTTTACCCTCTGACGTTCAGTAATGGGAATTGGTACTTTGCCACGTGGCTTGCAGGCTGCTGGCAGCACTGAATTATTGACGGTGTGGCCACCAGTACCAATTATCTGAGCATGGGTTCCAATTGGAAGATTGTGACACGTGACCATGAAGAAGACTGGAAACATGGATACAGCCTGGGATGCATGTTGTCGCTTCATCTTCACACTCTGTGGCCTTAGAGACTGTGCTGCATCTATATTATTGAGTCCTTGTGTGCATCATGATTTATTGAGTTTTTTGAGACCGTCGGCACTGGATCGGCTTGTGGCCTTTATTGGAATGACTTGGTTGTGATCTCGTTGTGCTAATCTGTAACGTTTGTGTTCTGTAACATGTATTATTCTGATACTGCTAGAAATATATTGATATACAAAAGAATATATCAATATAGAAAAATAATATTTTGGATTTTAAAATCTTTATTGTTGTATTAATACAAAAAAGCAGATATTGATTCCTACACAGCGTTTCTCGGTTTTGTTGATTTCATACACGGTGAGTTTCCCTCGTTTTGTTTGAACATCCAGGTGAGTCCTGGAAATCTCCCAGAATTACAACTGATCTCCAGGCTACAGAGATCAGTTCCCCTGGAGAAAAGGGCTGCTTTGGAGGGTGGGCTCTGTGCCAGGATACCCTGCTGAGGCCCTTCCCTTCTCCAAAGCCCACCCTCCCCAGGGTCATAAGAACAGAAGAACAGAAGAGAAGCCAATGTTGGATCAGGCCAAAGGCCCACCCAGTCCAACACTCTGTGTCACACAGTGGCCAAAAATACCAGGTGCCATCAGGAGGTCCAGCAGTGGGGCCAGGACACTAGAAGCCCCCCCCCCAGCACCAAATATCCAGGAATTGCCCCACCTGGAGCTGCCAACCTTGCTTACACCCAAACAATCCACGCTCCTGAGAGCAGCAATTAAACAAAAGCATCCTCTCTCTCTCTCTCTCTCTCTCTCTCTCTCTCTCTCTCTCTCTCTCTCTCTGTAGCTTTCAAACAGTCTTCCCAGGAAATGGGATACCTGGGAAGCTTATCAGGGATTCTTCAGTTATGAGATCAGTCGGGCTGGACAAGCTTCCCTCAGAGTTGTCTTGGCCACCCTGACAGATCCTCCCCTGCAGAACTCAACCACGGAGGGCAAAGAGATGGATGCCTTCTCAGACATCTTGGCATGGGTGAAGGCCAACAGGTCCAGCCAGTAACCCACGCAAACACACTTGGACGTGGCCTAAGGTCTTTTCCAACATACATTCCCCCCCTGCCTGGCAGGCATTCTGGGGTCCTCCAGCGGTCAGACTGATATGCCTAGCACTCCCAGAAGGGAGAAAGTTTGAAAAGGACTGCTCTCCAGTGCAGGCTGCTGAATTTCAAAACCTCGTTGAGCATTTTCTAACGAACGTTAACTAAACAGTTAACTCCATTGACTGAAGAGGTAGCTCCAAGCCTGAGACGTAACCAAGGATCCCCTTCTATCTTTGGTGAGAACGTTATACCCTGAAATTCTCTTAGTCACAGCTTAAGGGGCAGCTTATGACCAAAGTCCTAATCAGTGTTCCCTCTAAGCTGAGTTAGTGTGAGCTAGCTCACCGTTTTTAAGCTTCTGGCTCACACGTTTTTGTCGCAGCTCAGGAAGGAGGGCTCCAGAGCAAACTAATTTATGCAATAGCCAAATCGCTTGCTCACAACTTTAATGCCAGTAGCTCAGAAAGTAGAATGTTTGCTCACAAGACTCCACAGCTTAGAGGGAGCATCGGTCCCAAGGGAACTTGAAGAACAATACATGCTATTCAAATTGCACTACAAGAAAAAAGTAGAAGCAAAATCAAACCGCATCCCAACCTGGACAGCCCAGGCTTGCCCGATCTCGTCAGATCTCAGAAGCTAAGCAGGGTCGGCCCTGGTTAGTACTTGGATGGGGGACCACCAGGGAAGTCCAGGGCTGCTACAGAGAAGCAGGCAATGGCAAACCCCCTCTAAAATATCTCTTGCCTTGAAAATCATACAGGTGTTACCATAAGTTGGCAGCAAACAGACAGCACTTTCCACCACCAAAACCCAGCAGCAACCTCTGCTCCATCCAACTTTCCCAAAAAGGTCAATTTCAGCCATTTTCAGATCATAACACATTGTTGGCAAACACCTGGTGCTGGGAAGTCAATCTTACCTCCGTGATGATGAAAAAGTCATCCCCTGGTTCTCCCTGCACCACGATTTTTTCTCCGTCTTCAAACTGGACGGGTTCTAGGGCATCGGCCACAGTCAGTCGTTCCCATTTGTCCAGTGATTCTTTTTTGAAAGAAAGAAAGAAAGAATCAGCCCAGTCAGAAGTTCAGTGCATCTATGAAGAAGAAGGAAGAGATTGGATTTATACCCCACCCTTCATTCGGAGTCTCAGAGCAGCTTACAAACTCCTTCCCCTTCCCCTCCCCACAACAAACACCCTGTGAGGTAGGTGGGGCTGAGAGAGTGAGAGAACTGCTCTTGAGAGAACAGCTCTGAGAGAACTGTGACTGAACCAAGGTCATCCAGCAGCTGCAAGTGGAGGAGTGGGAAATCAAACCCAAATTAGAGTCCATGCACTTAGCCACTACACCAAATTGGCTCCCAAGGAACGCTCTGTTCACCTCCAACAACTATATTTCTTTATTAATTAAAGTATTTCTAAGCTGCCTTCCCCCACCAATACAAGGTCAAGGAATATTATAGTACACACAAACTGGAGCAAACAGAGAACAACAACTTTCAAACCACACATACCCTTAAAACATGAACCTCATATACCTAGGATTTTAGGCTACCCTCTTAAACACACTAAGTCCCCAGTGGGATGTACTTATTAGTAAATATGCTTAGGATGGCACTGTTCATCTAGAAAAGACTCACTTCCAAATGTTTTTTGATGAAACGCTGTAATTCTGTGTGTGTGCTTAACCATTATCCTGCAGAGCAGATGTCCATAGAGGAATCTGACATGCAGAAATTTTATATTTTAAGTCTGTGTGGTCCAAATCCCAAAGCAAAACGATACAGATTAAAAGCATATTCTATTAGGATTTGTAATTACCAGGCTTTGTTTTTTAAAATGTAATTTTATATCAGGCATTTCAGATGTCCCCCCCAGTGTTAGTCTTTGCTTCCAGGGTAGGCCAAAATCGCTTTGTAGGAAACCAGAATGAAAAAAGGGGAAAATTAAAGAGTGTGGTTTCTGTGCTGCTAATCAATGGGGGAAAGCAGCAATTAAAAAAGCCCTCATAGCAATGCGCCAAGCCCAATAGCAAGCCCTAATAGCAATGTACCAACACAATAACGCACACTTCTTCTTCTATCGTCTGGAAGAAGAAGAAGAGGAGGAGGAGGAGATTGGATTTATACCCCGCCCTTCACTACCTGAAGGAGTCTCAGAGCGGCTCACAATCTCCTTCCCTTCCTCTCCCCACAACAGACACCCTGTGAGGCAGGTGGGGTTGAGAGAGCTCTGAGTGAGCTGTGACTGACTCAAGGTCACCCAGCTGGCTGCATGTGAAGGAGGAGGGGGGAATCAGACCTGGTTCTCCCAGATTAGAGTCCGCCACTCTTAACCACTACACCAAACTGGTTCTCACAATTTTCTGTCCAGATGTCTGGACAGTCTGTCTTCACACTATTTAAACCAAACAGCCACAATGGCAGCTCGTTATCTGCTTGTTAGCCAAGCAAAATAATAGGAGACATTTCCATTATGCATGGAATATACTGAGCAAAACAGAATAGATTGCAGCTCCAGAGGGGTAGCCACATTCATCTATTCCATTGAAATACAACAGAAGTTCGACGGCACCTTCCAGACCGACAAAGCATGAGAGGTTGTGAGTCAGACCTCCCTTCTCGAGCTTGTGAGTCAGACCTCACTTCTTCAGACTGGTCTGTTTTGTGAGGCCTTTAAGCCTGAAAAAAATTATGTTCATCTTTAGGATGTCACTGGACCTGCCAAGTTGCCCTGTATTCAAAAATGATTTTAAAAACTCTTTATACCCTGTATACAACTGCTGCTAGAGACATCTGAAACATCACTGCCACAAGTTCCAACTCTTCCTCTTCGCCAGTAAATATTTCCTTCTTTGAGGGGTACCTGTGTCCAATGTTCCCTCTAAGCTGCGTTAGTGTGGCTAGCTCACAGTTTTTTAGCCTCCGGCTCAGACATTTTTGTCTGAGCTCAGGAAGGATGGCTCCAGAGCAAACTAATTCATGCAGCAGCCAAATCGCTCGCTCACAACTTTAATGCCACTAGCTCACAAAGTAGAATTTTGGCTCACAAGGCTCCACGGTTTAGAGGGAGCATTGCCTGTGTCCCTGATAAATCATTCTCCATGTTTTGCCTTGTGAGATTCCGGGGACACCTCTTTTAAAAGTCACAGTATGCGGTCTTAGAGTTGTCCTTCATGATGTTTCAACATTCTTCCCCTCTGTCTCTCAAAATGACACGAATGGATGCATCTTGACAGTATCACCCAGTCGTGTAACTATCTGTGTGGAAATCTAGGTGTGCCCCTTTCTGAGTGGTTCTCGGATGGTGTGGAATAGACAATTTAAAACTCTCCTTGGAACATTACAGAAGAAGAAGAAGAAGAAGAAGAAGAGGAGGAGGACGAAAAAGAAGAAGAAGAAGAAGAAGAAGAAGAAGAAGAAGAAGAAGAAGAAGAAGAAGAAGAAGAAGAAGAAGAAGGAGGAGGAGGAGGAGGAGGAGGAGGAAGAAGAGGAGGAGGAGGAGGTTGGATTAATTCCCCACTTGTCACCAAAGGCTGAAATAGACAAGGTCTATAGTGCACCTACTTGAAGAAGATCAGAAGAACAGCCTATAGGGGACAGCTGAAGGACTGCTAGTCATCATAGCTAGATTAGGGACTTCCCATAATTTCAGATTATAGAATCATAGAGTTGGAAGGGACCTCCAGGGTCATCTAGTCCAACCCCCTGCACAATGCAGGGAATTCACAAATACCTACCCCTACCCCCAGTGACCCCTGCTCTATGCCCAGAAGAGGGCAACCCTGCCTCACCCCCCCCCCAAGGATCCCTGGCCAAACTGGACTGGAGAACAGTTCCTTCCCGAACCCAAAGTGGCTATCAGCATTTCCCTGGGCATGTAAGGAAGGACCACTGAGGCAACCCTCCCTGCCCTCCCTCTCATGATCTGCCTAAATTCACAGAATCAGCATTGCTGTCAGATGGCCATCTAGCCTCTCCTTAAAACCTAAGTGTCTAAGGTATGCAAATTATAATAATACAAAAACAGATGTAAATATAATGTAGAAAACAAGAAAGTAAATACAATCTATCTTTTCTCTTGAAACGTTTCAAGAGAATTTTGCATACTTTAGACACTTAGCCGTCTTTAGCGTCTTTGCCACACAGGTATTTCCCACTTGCTCTGTGCTTACTACTGAATGTGCAAAATGGCCATGAAATGCAGGATTTTTTGCTCAGTAATGCTATATACTTACATATTTATTCATACCCAACCAGGACGATAAGGAAGTATCTTGTTCAGTGTTAACTGATGCAAGATTTCTGCACTGTAAACCGGAGAGGCAGAAAGCGACAGGGAGAAAATCCCCAGACTAAGTTTAGAAGTGTCTCCCAAAAGGCAAAATAACTTCACAAGTGGGTCCCACTTCTAAAAGACGGAGAACCACTGATTTAATTTGATTATGGAAGTCCACCTCTGAAGAGCTTTACCCTTTGGAGTTGATTTAAAAGGTTTGATTGGGACAATTATGTCTTAACAGCACAGGTGCAGGAGACCTTCAAAATACTTGCTGTAATTTGCCATAATTGGCACTCCTCGTTTATGATGTGAAATGAGCAGCAACGAAGGCACTTTACGAATCCTAAACATTTCACAAGTAAACGGATTGATCGGCCAGACCTTTTGCTAAGCCCTGAGAGTTCTAGAAGTTTTCCTTTCGCCTTTCAAGATCTGAAGGTAAGTTCAAGTGCGTTTTCTTGGCCCGCTTCTTCCCTGCCCGTAGGGTGGACAGCAACAGCCTAGCAACAAGTGGGAGTTCCGGGGGGTGGGGGGACATGGAGGGTGCTGCTGGTGACGGCATGATATCACTTCTGGGGGGAACTGGAAATTGACATGATGCCTCCCTAGGAATTGCTGGAAACTCTATGGTGAAACCATAAGAGTTTGAAGTGATTCCTTGAGAGGACTGGGATCACTTCTGGGTTTTTCCAGGAAGTGACATCACAACATTGGTCTATTGGTGATTTTTAAAAAATTTGTCCCACTGCTACCCTGAGGGGTGGCAGAAAGTATGGGTTGCTGGCAGGAGACATGGCAACCCTGCTTCCTAGACGGTAGCACAGCAGAGATATGTCTGTGCGTAAAGACCCACGTAACAGTGGACAAATTGAGATGCTGGTGGCGTAAACGGCTTAGAAGGCTGAAGATGTAGGCTTGGGCAGAGTCAGAATAGAAGGGTAAAGAGGCAGGGAAGGGGGAAATATGCCAGCAAGGGTCCTGGGAAGCCAAGTCAGAGGCCAACTCTCTTTTGGCACTCCAACCAGGCATAACAGGAGTGTATGCCACCCACAACCTCCCCAATATGTGCAGCCACCATGGTGTGTGAAAAGCCAGATTGCCACTCTGGGTTGGGAGATTCCTAGAGATTCGGGAGTGGACCCTAGACGCCACAGAATCCACCTTCCAAAGCAGCCGTTTTCTGCAGGATACTTGACCTCTGTCGTCTGGAGATCTGTTGTAAATCTGGGAGATCTCTAGGCCCCACCTGGAGGTTGGCAACTAGTGAGAAGGGGGAACACACTTATTTTCCATGTGCACTCAACTTTGGTACATGCAAACACGAACTCAGAAAATGCCAGTTTGTGTATACCAAAGCTGGAAAATATGCACATCGACTCATGCTCCCAAAATGGTGACCACGCATACCAGAAGGATCATGGGTAACGTGAGTCTCATGCAATGTCATTGGAGAACTAAAATCGAAATGTCTGAAAATGACAGAGGGCGGAAAGACAACACCATCCAGACACTTCAAGATGAAATAGCCAAGGGACTTCAACAAGACTGGCCAAAAGCTTCTTGGTGCTTCCAGACTCTTCTGGAAGTCTGGAGGCTTTAGAGATTCGGAAAGCAAGCGTGACCTCAGGAGGCATGCTCTTGTGAGGCCTTCCTGCTCAAGCCCTACAGATACAAATGGGAGCCACACAAGATTGTTTCTGTCTCCTCTCACAGCTCTACTTCATTTCGGTGACAAGGAGTAGCTCCTTGTGACTGTT